AACAGGCAAAGAGAACGTGTGGCGCATGACCAAAGTTTGTACAGCAGTACCACTTGTCATTTTTTATGGTGGCGTTTTTTTACAGATGACTAGTGGGGGGCAACAGGCAGAGAGAACGTGTGGAGCACGACCAAAGTACATTTTTTTTGCCACGTACAGCAGTACCACATGTTTTTTTATTGGTCGGTGTGTTTTCACCAACCAACGTCTGCATTCGTAGATACTTCAGAAACAACGTCTCCTCACGACGCGAACGTAGTCAAATACAACGTAATAAACGTTTTGAACGAGGATCCATTCTCGATATCGTTAGCCCGGGCTGAAGGAGCTGAATGTCTACGCCATGATGCCGTTCAGGCAATAATGTCTCCCGAGAGACAACATCGTGAGGTCAGAAAAAAAAAACTCTGTTACCATCTCGCATTACGCAACTATGACATGAACAAATTCCCCGACACNTTTTGAACGCGGATCCATTCTCGATATGGTTATCCCGGGCTGTGGGAGCTGACCGTCTACGCCATGATGCCGTTCAGGCAATACTGTCTCCCTAGAGACAACATCGTGAGGTCAGAAAAAAAAAACTCTGTTACCATCTCGCATTACGCAACTAACTATGACATGAACAAATTCCCCGACACAGGGGGGAGGGTGCTCACCCTTACCCTACACGCCCAACGTTGTAAAATAAATGCGTTTGGAAACCTACAATCTCCTTCGACCTCTCTGCAACATTCGAATTTTCTCGCGCAAGAGATGCACAACGCAGGAACGACACCCAAACAAACGACGTCATGAAAAGCGACAACACTTACCGAAACAAAACAAAACAACACGAGATCTTACTGGACACCACTCAGGCATTACCCCGGTTGATGATGTTTGTAACGCATAAAACACGACTTCCGCAAAATTGTCTCCACGTCCTCGTAGAGGCGCATATGGATTTGGCGCCCGACCCTCTCCCCCCTTAACAAAAAATTTTCTCACCCGCCCGTGCGCCTTCCCTTCCCTTTCACCCCCCCCACGCCCTACCCCACCAAAGGCGTTGCATTCCCGACCACCATTGTCCACATCCCCCGCCCCGGCCACGGCCCACGCTCCTCAGAGGCCACCACCGCCACATTTGCCTCGTCTCGTCCATCACCCACGTAGTACGTCCTCGGGACCCACCCACCCTCCACCGCAGCCCGCCCGCGTTCGACCCCTTACGTCTTCCTCGCTGCGTTGCGCACCAAGTTGTGCTTTGGGCGGTACTGGCGCTTGTTGTCCAGCATCATCGTGATCCCCTTGCGCGTGGAGACTTCGCCTGACCTGGTCGGTTTCTGCGCGTCCTTGGTGGTCTTGGTGGTCGTGCTGAAAGTTCCTGGCAGAGTCTTGTCGCCGAGTAGGTGGGGGCGTACCTGGACCACCTCGGCGTCTTCTTCCGACCGGTGGATTGGTGTGACCTTCTCGTCCCGGAGAAAGTTGTGGAGGCGAAAGAGCGCCGTGATGAGGTCGCAGCGCCCAGCGAACTGAACACGCAACGGCTTCCACAGGATGCCCCACTGGCCGACGAGAATGCCGAACGCTTGCTCGATCCTGACTCTGAGTTGGCTCAGATAGAAGTTGAACGCATCTTTGTCCAGCGGTAGTCCCCTCCCTGGGTACGGAGTCAACAGGTGGTCGCTTAGGGGGTAAGCCGCGTCTCCGAGCATGTAGAAGCCTGGCGGCAGGTTTTTTACCGCTGTGGATAGATCCGAATGGTTCCATGCCGTCCAGTCATTGGTCGAGCCGGGTGCAATGCAAGACATGCTGCAAAACCGGTAGTTGGCATCGCATGTCGCCTGTACGTTCA